GAAAGTCTTGTGGATCCAGTGGTGGTGGAAGCAGCTCAGCGCTGGCGTGGGTCTCCACATGGCTTCTTCAGCTTCAAGGGTTCTAGCATAGCTCCATGTATCTTGTCAGAAGGTAGACAAAGCAGAGTGTCTCCCAGGCAGTGTATCTGTGTCCTGCCTCCAACGAGCTATTTATCTCCTTAGCACCTCCAAATGAGGTCATCAGCTGCAACCTGATTGACAGGCTAAACTCCTTCCTCCCCTTCACTCTTAAGTTTCAGATTGACAGCAGATTATGTAACTACCACAGCAGCTGTAAAGATAACCTCATAAGAAAGGATGCATTTGAATTAGGGTGTTGACAAAAAATATTGAAAGTACCATTGGCTGCTGGGTAAATGGACAAAGCTGGTTTGGAGTAAGTATGACCAGCGTGCTCCTTAGAAGTAAGGCTGGCGAGACTTGGTCTCACGTGCTTTAGTATGGTGTCAGGAGGGACCAGTCTCTGCAGAAAGACATCTGTTTGGTCAAGTGGAGGGGGCAGCAAAATGGAGGAAGTGCCTTGATGTGATGGACTGACACTGGCTGCTCTTCCCCAACTCTGTGCCTTCTTCCTTGTAGGATAATTATTAAGACCAGCTCTTTTTTTGTTATTAATCATTTTATTGGTGGCTCATACAACTCATCACAATCCATCCATCCATTGTTTCAAGCACATTTGTACATTTGTTGCCATTATCATTTTCAAGGCATTTTCTTTCTACTTGAGCCCTTGGTATCGGTTCCTCATCCCCCCTCTTCCCCCCCCCCCATAAACCCTTGATAATTTATAATTTTTTTGCATGCCTTACACTGACAGATGTCTCCCTTCACCCACTTTTCTGTTGTCCATCCCCCAGGGAGGGGATTATATGTAGATCATTGTAATCGGTTCCCCCTTTCTCCCCCACCTTCCTTTACCCTCCTGGTATCGCTACTCTCATTATTGGTCCTGAGGGGGTTATCTGTCCTGAATTCCGATTCCCTGTGTTTCCAGCTTCTATCTGTACCCGTGTACATCCTCTGGTATAGCCAGAGTTGTAAGGTAGAATTGGGTCATGATAGGGGGAGGGGGGAAGGAAGCATTAAAGAACTTGAGGAAAGTTGTATATTTCCTCGGTGCTATATTGCACCCTGACTGGCTCGCCTCGTCTCCTCCCCACAACCCTTCTGTAAAGGGATGATATCCAATTGCCTACAGATGGACTTTGGGTCTCCACTCTGCACTCACACACATTCACAATCATATGATTTTTTTCTTTGATGCCTGAAACCTGATCCCATTGACACCTCGTGGTCACACAAGCTGGCGGGTGTGCTACTTCCTTGTGGACTTTGTTGCTTCTGAGCTAGATGGCCACTTGTTTATCGTCAACCCTTTAAGACCCCAGACACTATATCTTTTGATAGCCAGGCACCATCAGCTTTCTTCACATTTGCTTATGCACCTGCTTTGTCTTAAGTGATCATGTCAGGAAGGTGAGCATCATGGAATGCCAGTTTAATGGAACAAAGTGTTCGTGCATTGAGGGCGTACTTGAGTGGAGGCTCTATGTCCATCTGTTACCTTGATACTAAAGTTATAAATATATGCACATAGATCTATTTCCCCAACATCATATATAAATATGTTTACATATGTACATGCCCATATTTAAACCTCTATAAATGCCCTTTGCCTTCTAGTTCTTTCCTCTACTTCATTTTACTTTCCTCTTGTCCCACTATCATGTTCAGCCTTCATTTGGGTTTCAGTAATTCCTCTCAGTCACATTGTCCTTGATCAAGCCGTAACCAGGCCTCCTACACCCTCCTTGCCATCGATTTTAGGTCACTTGTTGTTCCCTTGCCCCTGGGTTTGTTTACACCCAGATCCTTTCTCCCGCCACCCCTCTCCCATCCCCCCCCCCTGCAAACCTTGGTTGTTTTCTCCTCCAGCTTATTTATCCCACCTATCTTATCTAGATAGACCTACAGAGATAATAATATGCACAAAAAACAAGACAGAGCAAAACAAAAGCAACAAAAGAAAACAACAACCAAAAAACCAAGGACAAAAAAAAGAAAAGCCTATAAATAGTTCAAGGTCTGTTTGTTAACCTTTAGGAGTGTTTTCTGGTCAAGTCTGATGGGGTGCCACGCCTTGGCCCCAAAGTCTATTTTTGGTATTCCCTGGGGACTTCGTTGCTCTGCTCTACTTGCTGTTCTGTTGCAAGCCCTTAGAGTTTCTCCTTGTTGTGGTATGGTCAGATCGGGCGGAATTCCCACATTTGTGTCTCCAGTGTTGTCCCCCGTAGTGCTATGGGTCTGTGAGGGATGTTGTGCCTTGTAGTGGGACCAGCCCTATGGTCCTCTCTGTGCATTGGCTGCTCTGAGCAGGGAAATCGTCCTCCGGGCTTGTTGGGCCAGGTTGTGCTCTGCTCTTCTTCCTCCCCCGCCATTTGCTCCCATGTGCTCTGATCAACATGTCCCTCTCCCTGAGTTGTAGCTTCAGTGCTGTCCTCTGAAATAAATTCTTCTGGGGGGTAAGAGGGGGTTGTCCACATAGTTGGGATTGGGGTCCACCCCTCAGACTTCTCTATTGTTTCCCTGCTTCATGCAGTATGTTGTATTCACATCTTGAAACACCGATTTGAAGTCTAGTCTCTCTTTCCCTTGAGACCAGCTCTTATCTTACATCACAAATGGGTTCAAAGGGGGTGCACTGCAATTAAGAAAGCTTATGCACAAAAGAAAAGACAACATGATATAGTTGAACTGCTGGGGGTCTCTGCAGCATAAACTACTCCAGAGTCCAGAGGTTTGTTAGATGTGAACTTACTGTATATACTAGAGTTTTCTTGCAGTTTTTGTGGTAAAATTAGGTTCCTCAGCTGATAGGTGGGTCGGCTTATACTCAAGTATATACGGTTTGTACTGCCCAGATCATGCAGCCAGCATGCGTGTGCCAGGAATACCCCAGGGCAGTTTATAATTCTTCAGGCACACAAAGAAACATTAGCTCTTTAGTCCAGGCTGTTCAAAGACAGAGGGGAGGATGGGGCTTGGGAAAGCAGAGTAACTGATAATTGCAGGGGGCTGCTCTCTGCAGCCCTGTTAGAGAGTAGAAGGCAAAGCATCTGTTTCTCTCAGGCAGACAGACATACCAACGACCGCTTCAACCATGAGTTCCCAGGATGAGCTGTTAGCACCTGCCACGACCATGGGCCATGAAAGGTGCTAGTCCTAAGGAACAACTCTCCCTCCACACTACCTCTGGTTTTCATTCGAACAATTGCTGTACAACTTGTTCCATGACATGGACTACATTTTTTTTCATTCCCAAAGAAAGCAGAAAATAATTTAAGATAGAATAAAATTGTGAATGGCTTAAAATGGAAAACAAATGATAAGGGGTTAAATGTTAACTATATCTGTACTTCCTGGTGTTCTCTGTCTATGGGCAGGGCTTTCCATGTCCCTGGTCAGTGGTCTGAGGGTATTCAGCGGATCCTTCTCTGTTTTCTAAGAGCGAATGTAATTCGTGGGCCACCCCTGTAGCCCAGGATAATCTTATTTTAAGGTCACCTGATTTATAAACCTTAATTCTGTCTGCAAAGTAACTTCACAGCAGTACCTAGAGTAGTGTTGGTTTGAACAACCCTTGGGGATGGGGGAGGGTATAGAGATTCTTGGAGATAGCTTTAGAATTCTGCTTATCAAAGTTACTCACTCCCCTCTGCTCCTGTGTTTCCAAGACACTAAAGTGGGGCTAGAAAGCCTCCTCTTCTTCCCCTGGAGTGACTGGTAGTTTCAAACCGCAGACCTTGAGGTTAGCAGCTCAACGTATAACCGTTTGCCACCAGAACTCCTCCTATCAAAGTTAAAGAACTTAAACTAGTGAGATTATCCTGGATTATTCCAGTGGGCCCAGTCCATTCATGTGAGCCCTTAGAAGTGGAGCACATTCTCTGAGTGGAGCAGAAAAGATAGGGCAGAAGAAGTCAGATTCCAGGCCTTAGAATAATTCAATACGCTGTTGCTAAATTTGGTCTTAACATGCTAGAACCAGAGAGAGGCCTCTAGGATATAAGGACAATTCTTAGCTGACACCAGCAAGGAAATGGGGACCTCAGTCCTAAAACAACAAGAACCTACAATCTGCCAACAGGCTCAATGAGCTTGGAAGTAGATTTTTCCCAGAACCTCTTGATCTGAGCCCAGTCGGCTGACACGTTGGGTTTGGCAAGCAGAGAACGCACCTGAACCCACCTGGACTTATGGCCTGCACACGGTGAGCTCATCTTTTTGTGCCTTCTCTGAGGACTGGTCTCTCCTGATGACAGGTCCAAAGTCTTCCTTTTCTTACATCCTTTCCTAAGACAAAGGAGCCTTCTGGCTGTACTTCCTCTAAGACAGGTATGTTTGTTCTTCTGGCAGTCCACAGTACTAGCGATATTCTTCACCGGTTCTTCTGTGGTCTTCCTTATTCAGTGTCCAGCTTTCACATGCACAAAAGGCGATGCTTACTTGGCAGGGGAGAGACCATGATCACGAAGGTGGTTTTCCTAGGGCGAGGCTTATCCATTGCACTCGGGATGTGCTGACCCCTGTCATTTCCCCAAATGTGGGAAGCTTGACTGCATAATTTGTGGTAGTGGGGGACTGCGTTCACGCGCTCCCCTGATTTAAAAAAAAAGAAAGAATAAGAAAAACAAAGAAAAAAGAAAAGGCGATTGGAACCACCCTGGCTAACTAATGCTCCACCACCCTGGCTAATGCTCCTCTGGATGCATGGACAGCCCACATTTGGTTTAGCTATTCATTTGTGGGTTGTTTCCACCCCCAAGTCATTATGATTAGTGCCCCCATGAGCATTGGGCACATTATTGACTCTGACCGTATTTACAGGGAAAGGTTGCCACAGCTACTCCCCATAGCAGTTGCGTGCTACTGCTGTCAGAAATCAGCGCTCTAAATCATTGTGTTTTTTTTTCTCTTAGTAAATTCCTCATCTATGCCTGTCTGCTGCTGTTTTCTGTGCTGCTGGCCCTGCGTCTGGATGGCATCATTCAATGGAGTTACTGGGCTGTCTTTGCACCGATATGGCTGTGGAAGTTAATGGTCATCGTGGGCGCCTCAGTTGGAACTGGAGTCTGGGCACGGAACCCCCAATATCGGTAATGCTGCTTTCTAAACCCCCCCCTGGCTTGCTGTCCCAGATGAGACATAGCTGGGCTTTCTCTCTTCGGCTTCCCTTTCACCTCTCTTGGGTGCTCTGTGATGGGCAAACTGAGATCTAGGCTGTCTCTATAAAGTCAATGTTGGTAGTGCCTCTCTGCCAAGTGTCTTCCCAGCTCACGAAAGCCTAAAGCATCCTAAATACAGCCAAGCTGTAGGGCAGTCACATGGGAGCAGGCTTAGGGGGATGGAATGGTCTGCTTGTTTGGAGACTGCACTCGTGTTCTACCTTTGCCATCACTCAGGAAACTGGGCTTCCCTTGTCCCCATCTCCCCCTTGTCCTGGGCTATCGGACTCTCAGTGGCGGGTGTGGGGGAGCTGTGAGCTGAGGCCGGCTGGGGAGTGAGAAGAGAAAAGGAGAGCAGAGCCTGGGGATGGAAGCGAGGGAGAGGGAGAAAGTTGGGCTTTACCTTCACCAGCCCTGCCCTGAGAAGGTGAAGGAACCACTCTGTCCCTTTCCATGCTCCCTCCAAGAGACTGGAAGCACAGAAAAGAATGAACATGACCACCAAATTAGGCAGAAATTGTACAAGGGGGTGTGGAGTGGCTAGGGGGAGGAACAGGGAGAGGGGATTAGTGCAGCAGCTCAGGCAAATGCTCCGGGAGCGAAGGGTAGACGTTGGGACCCCTCACTTGGTTTAGTTCTGGATTACTGACCTTTATGGTAAGATTTAGCTCAGGTAAAATACAGATTGCTTACAGGTTGAGAGTTTATTCACATGTCTTTTGCTCAGCCACTTTTTCTGATGTGCTTTTTTTGCTGAGAAGAGCAGACACTCCAAAGAGCCTACACATACAGTTTCATGTGTAGCTGCCTGAACAGTCTCAGAGCTAAATCTCTCTCTCATTCATATGTACACACACACACACACACACACACACACACACACACACATAAGATTACCTGTATAGATCTAAGCTCTTTAAAAAACTGAGATATTTTGGCAATGTGTGATAGTTAATGAAAAATCAAACCAGTTGGTAAAAATTTTAAATATCACCAGTAGGTAATATTTTTTAATATGTTGCAGTTGAGAATATACACCACAAAGCATATCCCAAGTCAACAGCGGTTTGTACATGTACAGCTCAGTGACATTGGTGACATTCTCCGAGCTGTGTGACCATTCTCACCCTCCTTCATAAACATCTTTTCCCTCCATGAACCGCAACTCACTGTCTCTAAGCCCCCTGTCAATGCTTTGGAGTGGCTGTTGTCCATTTGATCCCATATAGAGAGCCTTGAAAGAGCAGATTCCTCAAGGCAGGCAGTTTTATACTCATTATGCTATGCTGTAGGTTTTTCAGAAGGTGCCAGGAATTATTTTGGGCTTGAGATTGAAAGGTGATCTCAGGACAACAATGTTCAGGGTACATTCACTCTATATGGCTCTAGAAAGTCTGGAGTCTGGAGAATTTGAAATTTTGTTCTGAAATTTCCTCCTTTAGAAGAGGACTTCTACAGAATCTAAAATCATAATGTTCAGCAATGGTTGCTGGGGACCATCCAGTTCTCCTGGTCTCCTTACAAAGAGGCAGTCATTCCTGGAGCTGATTAGCCACACAGTCCCTCCCCTCTTCCTAGTCCCGACTCTCCTTCCTACTCTTCTCCTCCCACTGAAGAGTGACCAGTGGTTGGGCCTGCGATGGCCTCGTGCCATCTACTACCTGATACTTAGATGCTATTTGAAAGCTTCTCGGTTGGTTCAGGATTTTCAGAGCAAGGAAAGGAAGTGGGTTTATGTGAGTGTCCTGAGTGTAAAGAGGTGGCCATTCCACCTCTGGCAAATTTGCCACAGAGATACTGGGAGGTCCTGCTGGAAGAACCATTCAGCGTCTTTTCTTTGTGTCCTAAGCTCAGGTAACTTCTCCCCATCTCGAAGGGTGTGTTAGTTCGGGTCTAGACTAGAGAAACAAATCCAAAGATAATCGTGTGTAAGAGAGTTTTATATCAAAGAGTAATTGTATATTAAGAAAACATCCCAATCCAGTCCAGATCAAGTCCATAAGTCTGATGTTAGCCTATATGCCTGATACTAGTGTAAAAATTCCTCTTCATACTCAAGCAACACATACAATGATGGTGAATGTAGGAAGATCGCTGACCTGTGGGTGGAAAGTCTTGTGGATCCAGTGGCAGTGGAAGCATCTCCAAGGGCTCTGGCTGGCATCAGCGTGGTCCCATGTGGCTTTTCATCAGGAATGTGAAGCAGAGAGAGAATTCCCAGAATCTTCATGAGAAAGTCATGCCCATAAGAAGGGATCAGGCTGTGACCAGATTAATAGGCAGATTCCACCCCTTCATTCTTATCAAGTTGACATGAAATTGTGTAATTACCACAAAGGGTGTTAAGGCCTGTCTTCCCTTAGAGTGGGTGTGGAATTGAGCATTTTCCTGCTCAGGAGCCTTGTTATTTCAGGTGTTAGTCTTTGATATTTGTGCACAATGCTGAAAACAGCTATCTCACCTGCGTGTGTTTGAGGCAATGTTTTAACTTTTTTTTGCACTTTTTTTCGCTTTCATCTACAGGTGTTAACTTATCCTGATGGACTAGAAGGAAAAGAAAAAGAAGACATCTATACTTTCTAGTTGCAGTTTAAAATACATTGCTGTGTTTTCTCAAAATTGAACCCACACTTGCTCATAAATCTAGTCATTTTTAATAGCATTGCATGTAACGATTACCATAGTTTTTAATTGGTTGAGATGTGGGCATCCTGGCCTTTACAGCGTGGTAGCCAGTGTTAGGTAATTGATGCAGTCCGTTTGAATAAGCTGAGTAGCAGCTCTTGTTTCCAAGCCCCTTCCACAGTCCAGATCCAGCGTAGCGGGAAAGTGCACTTTGGGACCCATTGCAGGTCTTTGCTGTTGTAAAGATTGGCTGTTTAAACAAAACCAACCAAAACACAGAGTTCCTGTTAAAGATTAGGTTTCCGTTAACTCTCAAGCTGGTTGTCCTTCCCTTTTTGTCAGATTTACCAATACAATTCCGAGTATGCAGGCAGGCTGCTGGCTTGCACTGTAGACTCTGAACTGAAGGTATGTTCTGTTTTTGTCTCTTCTGTCCCTCTGTAGAGCAGAAGGAGAGACGTGTGTGGAGTTCAAAGCCATGTTAATCGCAGTGGGCATCCACCTGCTTCTGCTGATGTTTGAGGTTCTGGTCTGTGACCGGATCGAGAGAGGAAGCCACTTCTGGCTTCTGGTCTTCATGCCGCTCTTCTTTGTCTCCCCCGTGTCTGTTGCAGCCTGTGTTTGGGGATTTCGACACGACAGGTCACTAGAGGTGAGATATCTCAGATACTGACAAGTGCTGTCTCGATCTAATTAGGGATTTGGAGCCACTGTTATAATTAACATTTTGGGTCAGTCCCTGTCTTGCCCTCTGTTGGGAAAAGAGTGGTCGCTCTCATTCCCCACCTCAGATCCTGTGGTCTGGCCTCTGCCTGCTCTCTGGGTGACTTCTCCTGGTGGGCCATCTGAGTATTTGTTCCCTTAGTCCCTAGCAAGCATGTGCCTAGACGTGGGGGGCAGTGATGGCAGCGTGCGTGTTGTAAGCACCTCCTGTACGGGTACTGTGCCGGGCACCTTGTGCGATTAAATACAGTGACTGGGGGCTCGGGGCCATTGTCATCCCTGTTTCCCAGCCACAGGGCGGGGAGATAGCTGGAAATCAGAACCAGTGGCTGCACACCCCTTGCCTGTAGCTAGAACTGAACTAGGATCCTGCAGAGGGCGCAGCTGGGGTGCTTCGCGGTCCTGCTCCTTGGCCCCCTGCCCTGAAGAAGGATGATGGAACATAGCTCCCTGGGAGCCAGAGGGACCACGATGCAGAGTAATGAAAGGGTGGGTCAGTGTGGGTGGTCAGAAGTGGGGCAGAATCAGGAGAGAACCTGCCCCAGCCACCCAGGGTCACCGTGCCCACGGTGCCCTGGCTGGCCTCTCTCAGGGTAGCACTCCAGGATCAGCCCCTTAGGCTTACGGCCTCCAGCTTCAGCCTTCTAGGCCACATTCTCAAGCAAAAGCATGGGCCCCGAGAGCCACAAATCTTTCAGGGCAGGGGAAGCAGGGGGAATTGGACTTTTTCATCAAAGAGCATCAGTAGTAGTATCTTTCTGAGGTGAGAGGCCATGAGGAAAGGGCTGCCCTAAATACTCACTGGGGTGATGGGCAATGGGAACAAGGTGGGAGAGTGGACCCCTCTCGGCAGCCGCAACCTCTGTCTGTCCTATGAAACTCTTGCCTCTCTTTATGACACCCTACTCCCCCATATATTCTACTTTGTTTGCCATCCATGCTCACACCAAGCTTCTGCTCTGAAATGTGTGCACGCTCTCCAGCCAACCCCTCTTGCTCCTCCACATAGCTGCTGGGTGTGTCCTGTCCCTTCCCTTCATGGACGACACACTGTGACCCTTTTCCCTCGGCTCCTCTGCTAAGTTTCCTTTTTCTCACCATCTCCTCGCAAGTGCCTATTTCTTAGGGTTCTAGTTCTAGTGTAGACACTGTCCAATTGCCATTTACACCACCATCCCGGCTCACTTGACTCTTGGCCTTGGCGTTCTGCACTAGCTCCAGTCTTCCCAGTCCCTTCCCTAGGGTGGGCATTACACACACCCTCTCTGCCCCTGTGGCTGAGCAGCTTTTCGCTGTTGCCAGAACGAATTCAGTAAAACTCAGCTTCCCCACCATTTCCAGAGCTTGCACGGAAAATGCACCACCACAATGGAAGCAAACACAGCCGTTAACTGTGCGCTCAGTCCAGGGGCAGGGGCAGGAACCAATTGGTTGACTCGGACTCCTGTTGTCCCTGCCCACTCTCAAGCCATGGTGTCTCCATGACGTGCCATAGTGCCCCTGCACAATCCCCAGGGGAGCAGCACCACCCACGTTGAGAGGGACTTGAGGAAGCGGCAGCATAAACATGGCCAGGGCAGCACATTTCCTCCTGCCCAGCTGTAAGACAGCAGTCTCGGATCGCCACGTGTTTGTCATTCCTCCTGCGCCTGGGCTGACCTAGGAGTTAGGGGTCCCACTGCAGCGGTTTCTGTGTTTGTGGAGCAGGCCTGGTAATTTGGGCCTGTGTGAAAGCCTTTGTGAAGCCAGGCCAGGAGGGAAGGAATGCCCTAGCCGGTCCTTGGGGTGGAGAGGTTGTTCCGGGACCAGCAGGCAGGTACACACACACCCCATTAGCTTGGGCTGCTTTAAGAATGAGAGTCAAACACTGCTTTTCTTCTGATTGATGTGACATTTATTCCGGCAGCTGCTTATGACATAGACTCTGGCTACGTAGGCCTAATCACACATAACTTTGCAACCGTTAGGGGCTTCTGGGGCCTCGGGAGCCTGCAGCAGCACTCCCTGAATGTCTCAGATGGTTACAGGCCGGACCACTTGTAAAAAGGTTGGCAGGCCACACGCCCCCCCTTCCCCCCGAGGCACCTCACAAGAAAAGCTTGGTCATCTTCCAAAAGGTCACAGTGGTGAGTCCTAAGAAACAGAGTTCTACTCTGTGCATGTGGAGCCAGCAGGCATAGGCTGGGGCCTAGGGCAGAGGCCTAGGTAGGAGATTCAGGCAGCCCAGCGACGGTCATGGAATGAACTCAATGACAACCAACAGCACTAGGACTAGGAACCTCCCCAAATGAATGACGGGGCCCCTGTGAGCCCAGAACACTGTGAGCAGCCTCTGGGCTGGGTGTATGTGCTGGGAAGTTTAGACTCCCATCCTGTAGATTGTGGAGCAGAGGAGCCCTAGTGGCATTGAGTTGCTTACTGCGAGATCAGCCACTCTGCAGGGGGAAGTGGAGTTAAGCTTCCAGTGTCTGGCCACGAAGTTATGGAGAGAAAGAGATAGGACTGAGAGGACTACAGGGCCCAGGGGGGTGGCTTTACTAGGTTTTGGGGTGTTCTTATTTTTAAGGTAAAAAAACTTCTGTATTGCGGGGAGGACCAGTGGTATGAGTGAAGTGACGGGTGTAAGGAATCTATAACATCTTGATGTTACAAGATCCTTTAGAAATCCAAAAAGGAAGGGTTGGGATCCAGGGCCAAGTCTTGGGCAAGAGAAGGAAGTATTATGGTGCTGGTGTTCACTGCTGGGCCAGAAGGAAGCATGGTGCATGCTCGCTGCCCAGGCGTGCCATGGCATAAAGGTGACACAGCCCAGAGCAGAGGCACCAGGTGCCACCTGAGACGGCATTGCGGGGTTCCTCTGGTGCAGAGGTCTGACTGCTGTCACTGGCCGTACCTTAGCGTGTGCTCACCCAACCATATCAGTACTGAGCACAACGTTTCCTCTGTTTTAACTAATCCTTCTCTTGTTTTTAGTTAGAAATCCTGTGCTCTGTCAACATTCTCCAGTTTATATTCATTGCCTTAAGACTGGACAAGATCATCCACTGGCCGTGGCTTGTACGTACCTTGCCTTCTTTACTATCAAAGTAATTCACGTGCAGCAGAGAAACCTTAGGAAAGGTGTGGCGGATAGTGTAAGCCTAGCGAATACAGTAAGAGGCAGCTATGACCCCAGGCAGAGTGCTTCTGGTTCGTGGTGCCTGATACAGTATGGTGTCGATTAGTAAATGTGGAGAAAGGTGGTTCAGACCACAGGCGGAGGGTTACATTACCTCACACAAGGAAGTTGTGCTTGTAGTTTTTTGCCCTGTTGTTAAATATGTTTTTTTTCAGATTTATATTTTAGCACCTTTATTGAGATGTTGCTTAGTACTCTACGACTCACCCACGTGTATACAGTTCCATAGCTGTAATTCTCATTACCCCTGCCCAGTCGATTTAGAACATATTTTTCTCTCCCAAAGGGAAGCTGCCTGCTGTAGTTCTTGCTCCTCTCTCTTGCCCCAACCCTCGGAAGCCAGTAGCTTAATTTTTGTCTCTAGAGTTCCCTGTTCTGGACACTTAAAATATTAATGGAATCGTATAATGTGTGTTTATGTGTATTTTTGCACAGTAGAGGTTTTTTATAAATAAATGAATATATTTAATATATATTTAATATATTTAATATATATTTAATATATAATATATATTAAATATATATATTTATTCATTCATTTAGGGGAAGGGAAGGAAACCAAGAGACTAGAGTAGCCTCTACAATCAATGAAGATGGGATTCATAACTTCTGCCCAAAGGCTTTGATGAAACATTCTTGATCCTTAAGATTGCCCAAGTATGCATGCTACATTTTCTAGATCTGCAGCTGGGGCATGGTAATGGGGTTAAGAATATTGCTAATGTCACATGGAGGAAGCAGCTCTGAATAAGATCACAGTTTGAGTGTAAGTTCTAATTAGGAGATGCTCTGGAATTCTGAGTGTTTCCTGAAAGTGAAGCCAAGGATTGCTCAAGCAATTGTGCGGCTCCCTGCAGATGAAGCCATCTGATTACATGTTTTTGCCACAAAGGTTAAGGGTGGTAAGATCACTAACATGACCCTCCAGTGGGGCCCCACTCTGATCCCAAAGCTGCTTTAGCTGGCAGAACACTGAGACACACACACACACACACACACACACACACACACACACACGCCCCCGCCCCATGGGTGAATGCTTCTTGTCAGGAGGATTGAAACTCAGACGCTGCTTAATATGGATCCACAATTCTAAAAGTAAAACTGCAAAATGTTTAGAAAATACAGAACCCAGGAGTCAGTCATATAGTCTAAGAAATGGCATTCCAGGCAAGCTGCATGTCCAAAATTGGTTGATGATGATTGCACAACTCTTCTTAATGTGACTGAATTATTAAATTTCAAATTGTATGATATGTAGATTAAATGCCAGTAAAACTGTAAAAAAAAGACATGCTCCATCGAAGAAAAAAAGTCATAAATTTGGACATCCTTAAAGTGAAAGTAAAATGAATGAAAAGATCAATCAGACTGGGGGCATATTTGCAAAGCACACACCTGACAAAGAATTTTATCTGAAGCATGTAAAGAATTCTTAAAACTCAAAACTGAGCATCCAGATTTCAAAATTTGGGTCAAGATTTGTACAGGAATTTTATCAGGAAGAATCTGCAAGAGGAAATGCAGCATGTGAAAAGATGGGCACAGGAAGTAGACTGGGTCCTCGAGAGACGTAAAACCAGTGAAGCATAAACACCTCAGGTGTTCTCCAGGAGAGGCCGGCAAGTCTCAAATCTGCAGGTCAAATGTTAGCTTTCAAGCTTCTCCTGACTCATGTAGCTATGGAGCTGCAGGGGCTGATGAGCTCAAGATCAGCAGGTCAAATGTCGGGCTGCTGGTTCACAGATTGCAGGTAATAATGAATCCCAAGATTAGGAGGCAGGTGGTATAGTGGTTATGTGTTCGGTTGCTAGCCTCAGCAGTTCGAAACCATCAGCAGGTCTGTAGGCTTCTATTCCTGGAAAGTTTTAGCCTTGGAGACGCACAGGGGCAGTTCTACCTTGTTTTGTAGAGTTGCTTTGAGCCGGCATGTGCTTGATGGCAGTGAGTTGGGGTTTTTTGTTTTGTTTTATATGACATAACACTGACTCAAGTTAAGCAAACAAGAGTCAGGTGAAGGTGTGCCTGATACAGGGTCCAAGCCAAAAGGTATAGAGCTTCACCAGAACTTTTATGTATACCAGGATGTAAGTCACACCCCCGAGCAAACTCCCTTTCAATTGATAGGCCACTCATAACAGATATATCATTGCATAACTGCCAAATCAGAGAATTATTGTCCAGCCAAGTGGACATACAACCTTAACCATCACAATCACAATTAAATAGCATTTCATACTCCCTCAAACCAAACTCAGACTCACTGCCCTCAAGTCAATTTTGACTCATAGCAACAAGCCGTGGGGCAAAAGTGTAGCGATCAGAAATCCCTTCCTAGATGGCCACTGGGGGTGTAAAATGGTGTGAGCATATTGGGTAAACAACCTAAAGTTATATGTGAACTTGCACTCCTGGGCATTTCCCCCAGTGAAACGCCAATGCAGGTTTACACAACAACCTAGACATGCAAGTTCAAGGATAACCACACTGGGACATGCACACCACTGAATATTTTCCTGCTCACACAGTGCCCACCAGCTTGTAGGCATGCTGGCTGCGGAAAGGCACCCTGAACAAGCTGCACGCTATATGATTTCATTTATATAATGTTTTAGAAAAAACAAAAAGGCAGTGATCTTGGTTACCAGCTGTTACGGGTGAGAGGTGCCCTAGTAAAGGCCAGCACGGGGTGTTTGGTGGCATTGACAAGGGTTCTTAGTCTACCCTGTGGCCTTGGAGACATGAGTGTACACGTTTTAAGAATCCTAGGACTGTACACAAAAGAGAAAACTCAGTATTCAGTATGGTGCTTAGGAAAAGAGCAATGAGAGCGGGCCACGTGGTACCCGAGGCCTACCTTGGGCATTGTGCGGTGGAGTTGGGTCATGCGAGTCCCTCAGAGTACTCTCTGCTAGAGGTTGACCAGCTGATGTTTCCAGGAGCAAGTTCCCAAATCAGCTGCCAGGTAGTTGGAGCAGGCTATAGAAAGATGTTTTGGGTGGCAGGGGGCAGGCTGACCTGCCTGCCTGCAGGGTGATGGGGTGAGCTGGCTGTCTTCTCTCACAGGTTGTGTGTGTCCCCCTGTGGATCCTCATGTCCTTTCTATGCCTGGTTGTCCTCTACTACATCGTGTGGTCCGTCTTGTTCCTGCGTTCCATGGATGTGATTGCAGAGCAGCGAAGGACACACATCACCATGGCCCTGAGCTGGATGACCATTGTGGTGCCGCTGCTTACCTTTGAGGTGAGCACTCTATGGGAGCACTCCTCACCACCTCCAAACCACACCCCTCCCCTGTCATAGCCCCCAGCATACAGGATAGTGAAGGGGGGTGGGGCAGCACACACCCATATTGACCAGCAGGCAACTGACAAGGACCTTTCTCACCTCAGAGGCCCTTTTGAGCACAAACATGTTCATATTTAGTGCCAAGTGGAAATTTGTACTAGGTGATTTACTACTGTGGACATCTGTGCAATAGGCTTTACTGCTCCTTAGAACAAATATCCAGGGGACTTCCCAGGCGGCCATCTGGCCCCAGCTGTGGACTTCAGAAGTGGCTGCTGCATGACCTGTGCTGTTTCTCTTTTCAGATCCTGCTGGTTCACAAGCTGGACGGCCACAACGCATTCTCTTGTATACCCATCTTTGTTCCTCTGTGGCTGTCGCTGATCACGCTCATGGCAACCACTTTTGGACAGAAGGGAGGAAACCACTGTAAGTACATGGCATTAGGAAGTCCTAGGGGGTGGGAGTAGGGGGAGGACATGGGAAAGGAGGGGGCTAAGGTGACCTCCGGCCTTTAGCTACTGCCACGTCCCCTGGCAGTGCTGGGAGCTGAGTTGAGGGATGCCTGAGCCAGCCACGGGGTCTAATCCAACCCTGGTTCTGTCAGGATGCCGCGCTCTTTCCCTCCAGTGCCACATTGTGGCCCCGTGGTCTTTGGCTAGGTCCTCTTCTCACCAGGCTTGGAGCTGCTTTCTGTGTGTCTCCAGAGACTGTCCTTCTGGGTGCCCAAGAGAGCCATCACAGAGCTGAAGGAAGGCGGGTCCCTAAGAGCCTGATTAGCAGTAGGTCTCCTTAGGTGACATTTTATGACACACATGCATGTTTAGCTGGGGCACAGCAGAGTCTAGGTGCCAAAGATCTTTGCATGTCAGGAAAACAGGAATGTCCCTCCGAGTCCACAGAGGGCCTGAGCAAGTTCAGCTTGGTTTCTATTGTGTCAGACTCCAGCATTGCCGTGGGCAGGTTACCAGAACCTTCAGGAAAAAACTGTATATGAAACTCAGTTAACCTAATTTCTGAAAAGGTACTCTTTTTTTATCCCCCCCCCCCTTTCAGGGTGGTTTGGTATTCGCAAGGATTTCTGTCAGTTTCTGCTTGAGATTTTCCCGTTTCTAAGAGAATATGGAAACATTTCATACGATCTCCATCATGAAGATAATGATGAAACGGAGGAAACACCCGTGCCGGAACCTCCAAAAATTGCCCCTATGTTTCGAAAGAAGGCCAGAGTCGTCATCACACAGAGCCCGGGAAAGTATGTGCTCCCTCCCCCCAAACTAAACATTGAAATGCCCGATTAAAAGCCTCGCCCCAGGAGGGAACAACCGGGGGTCCATGCCATTCTCCCTTCTCGGCCTCTCTGAGCCCTTCACACAGAACTGAGACTGCAGCTAGGTCCCTGGGATGGTCATCTCATGCCTACCTTCCATCCAAAGCCTATCAGTGACTGAACCACGTACCACCAAGGTGGAAGGGACGGACAACACACTAGCATGGGACAGAGACGTGAACTTCCAGGAGGAGTGTGATCAGCCTCCCCTGGGAGGGCTGTGTCCGAGGCATTGTGTTAAAATGCTCGCTCACTGGCTGCCAGTGTCTGCAAGACTTGCAGACAGCGATGTGAATACCAGATGATCGGGTCTGGACACCTGCAGGCCTTGGGGCCAGGGGCCAAACAGAAGACATGCTCTTGAGTGAGAACACAGCACTTTTTCCTCAAGGCCTCCTTGGCGAGACCATCCTATTGGCGTGACTCCACGCATATGTAGTATTTATATGGAGATTTTACTATTGTGACACATAGTGTGAAAGTCGGGTCTGGATCGTGGGTCCTGGGAACGTCTATTTGTGCCAGCTTGTGGTGGAGCTGGGCAGGAGAGGCAGTGGGCCACCCAGCAGGAGCCTCTGCACAGGACTTGGCCACTCAGCCACTTGAGGCCCTCCCGAGACCCAGCAGCTGCTACTGCCACAACAGCCACCGCCAGTGAGAAGCAGCCCACAGCACTGCAGCCCTCGGGCACATGACTCCCAGACCCTGGGCCACTGTAGGAAGTGGCCGGGAATCCGGTCTGGCCTGCGGTGAGAGGCAGCCTTATCCCAGGACCTGCCATTTGGGACTCCGGGAGAAGAGTCCCGGCTGTGACGGGACAGCCCACAGCCTGCACACCAGGAAGGTGGGGCTCTCCACCAGGATACCCAGGGGGTGTCCACCAGAGGCCACTGCTCTGATGCCAGAGGGCCACAGGGGACTCCAGCCAAAGGCTCCTACCTGGCCCTGGCCGGGCCCACAGCAAAGTGACTCTGCCTAGGGACCAGGCCCCCTGGCCCTGGGCGGGGGGCCTCGGTGGCCAGTGACCTCCCCACTCCAGTGCCGTCAGTTGTCCAATAAAGCAGTTCCTCTTGTCTGCCAGTGCCACGAGAAGCTTGTAAAGACTGGGGAGGGGAGGGAGCGGGCCTGTCCAGGGACAACCTGAAGGGCAGGGGCTGGCATCAGATTCCACTTTTGCCAAAGTGGTGCCCTGTCACCTTGGCAGTGGCTCGTCCCATAAGCAGCCCAGGATTGTTGCTTCCCTACTGCAGGGGCACTTTGTAGGGACCCCATAGAGACTCGGTGCTTCCTGTTGATGACACCATGTCCTTTGGCTCGCCACAGTCCAGGCCAGCCTCTCTGAGGACCCTTAAATTTCAGCCTTGCTGTCACCAGCTGTGCCTGCCTGCCTCAAGCCCCATGGGGGGCGGCGAGGGGGCTCATGAATCCTCATAACTTAAGGTGACCAGATTTTAACATTGGTAAAGCAGGACACCATTGATCAAACTCATATACTGGCGAAATAGCCACATGGGACTGAAAACCGTATACCCTACCTTGTGCATTCTTTCCAAAAATTGGGACTTTTTAAAAATGCCATGGGACATGGGAAAAATTGTTTAAAAAAACGGGACTTTCCCGTCAAAAGCGGGGACGCCTGGTCACCTTATCATAGCTCCTAGGGCCTGTCCTTTCACGGTCACTCCGTGAGGAGACTGTAGCTCAGAGCTGAAGTCGCCCAGACCAGGCAGTGAACCCAGACACTGCATGGTGCCCTGAGCCTTCCTCCTGAGCTGCTGGCTCACACCCAGCTGGAGAGGCTGGGGACTGGGCCACCATGCCACTTGTGCTTGGGACATGGCTGGGGGCCGGCAGTGTCAATGCCTGGACCTGGAAGTGGGCGCTGAGCCCAGGTGGAAAATGAGTGCATCCTAGCAAACACCCCGGGTCCAGGCACAAAGGGCAGTGGGCACAGCGTGTGTTGTACACACATACACACACGTGCACACATACTGGGACAAAGAGGGACTGGGCAAGTGCCACCACAAGGGGTCAGTCCTGCTCAGCCCCTCATCCACAGAGAGCTGTCACAGGAATCCTCAGCCTGTCCCTTGCAAGCAGGAGACAGGTGGACAAAGGGAAGCTTGGGGTATGTGTACTTCAGCTCGAGGGGCTGTGGCATGGAGGCCTCAGAAGGAAGGGAGCAGGGGTCTCTGGTACCCTCCCAGCTGGCGAGGTGCCAGAAAGGGACTTCTGTTTGTAAGAAAACATTATGACCTTCCTGTGACCCAGATGCCTGGTCAGAGAGACCAGCAACTGTGTGTGTCCCTTCCATCTCCCAGGGGAATTTCTTGAGGCCGTGTCGACTGAAGCCTGCGGCTGGTGGAGACAAGGCCAGCCCTGCAGCCTCTGAGCCTGTTGGCCATGTCTTCTCCCTGGTCCGGGGCTAAGGACAGTTTGAGTTCTAAAGGCAGGATCCTGCCACCCTTCTGGGGACCCTGCTCCCCTGGGCTTGGTTAACAGGGTGTGAGAATACTAATGAGTATGTTAATGTGGCTCTGGCCATGCCAGGGGCATGCCAACAAAGAGCCCTGCCTTGGTTGCGATTCTGACTTCTGTTGGGTTCTAACTGGCCCTGGAACCACCCAGACCAAGTGGATTTGGGTGCACCCTGGCATTTTGAAATGGGTGGGTGTGGCATCAGCTGACAGGGCCAGCTCTGCCTCGGCATCTGTGAGGTCCCCTGGCAGGTGTTTTGAGGTAAGGGTCCAGCAGCCTGAGCACCTCTGGTGGCAGGGACTACAGTGTGGGCCAGGCCTGCTGGCTGCTGTGTGCCTGGGAAATCAGGAGGGCAGCTGAGCCTTCAGCCCACGTGGAAGGAAGGCTTTCTGAAGAGCAGGTCTGCTCCCTCTGGACCCTTTGGCCTGGCTCTTGATCCAGCCTTTAGCCTTTATGCTCCTGCGAGCAGCCAGAGCCTTGCTGTCCTTGCCATGTCTGCATGGGGCCGTGACACCCTGCTGTGACCAGTCCATCCAACTGCTGCTCATGCACCCCGCCAGGACACTCAGCCACCCAGTGCGGACAGGTGCCTCTCTGGGCTGCCCTTTCCCCAGACACTCTGGACTATCTTGAGCAGCAATCTTTCCTCATTCATCTGGTGGGAGTGTGACGGCAAGGGCATTGCCATCCGAGAGTCACAGTTCCCACAAGAGATGCCGGAAAGGGACAGGGGCGACGTTGTGTTTACAACTCGCTCTAGGAAGACTTTCACCTGGCAGCCCAGCCTGTACGGCTGCAGCCGGTTGCCGGAGGTTGTTGCTCTGCTGCCCGACAGCCTGCCTCAGTTCTTCACGGATGCCAGCCCCATGAGCAGTTTCAGCAGGCTAAGGAAGGACACAGGGCCTCCCGAGGACCCAGGCGTGGGCCTCCCGAGGACCCAGGCGTGGGCCTCGGGGACAGGCTGCTGGCACCCTCCGGTCAGCATGGTGGCAACTTTGGTCAAGGAGGTTGACCTTGATCAAACAGCTACAGTGCCCAGATGCCCTCCGAGTGGCGGCATTGAGGACTGAGCGTCACTTCCGCTTGAGGATACAAAAAACAAATGCAAAGCCAAGGAGCCAATGCCAACTGAGAGCAACCTTTCGGACAGGAGAGCAGACTTGGGGCTGGTGCTGCTGCTTGGTGTGGGACTTAACATCCATCGTTGTTTCTGTGCCTCACGTTGGTCCCAAGCACACTTTCACGGCCATCAAAACCTTAGAAGCGACTTGGCCGAGCTCCTGGACAAGATGAGGGGAAGAGTGGGTCTTACAGTGCGGCCCTAGCAGCTGGAGGCCCACCTGCAGGAGGCAAGATCTTCCACACTGATATCCTCTCAGTGGCAAGATGCCCTAGAGATTCCCAGTGGGAACCTTCAACTGCCCACACGAGAGACCCCAGGAGCCAGGTTGACCGGGTTCCCAAATCACCTTCAGTGAGTCCCTGGGAGGCTGTGTGAATGAGCCTCCCGTTACAGGCCACTCCTTGGAACCTGGGGCCCTCTCCTTCCTCCACATCAAAACACCTCCACATCAAAGCACCCACTGCTCCCTCCAGAGCCTTCCACCTGGGTGGGCTTCTTTGGCCCTTTGGAAGTCCTGCCAGCTGAACCTCCCACCGTTTCCTGTCTGCCATTGGCCTGCTGCCATGCTGGGCTTCCTGGGTCCCATGCCCACCGTGCCTGCCGCTTCCATGCTGGTGTCTCCTCCCCATCCAGGCCTGCCATGTGGCTGCTGCCCCAGCAACAAGGCTTCTCATGATCCCCTCCACCCACCCACGGTTTCTCATGCCCCCTCCGGGCCTCCAGCTTGCCCTGACCTCAGTGACCACCACACCTGAGGCAGTTCTTCCCTGGGGAAGGTTGATGGTCAATAAAAGGACTCTTTTATTGGTCTTTTCAAAGGCCTTTGAGGGCTGCTCAGGGGCTTTTTCTCAGCTCAACTAGGGCAACTGTGGCTTGCCCACGCTGCCTCAGGGTAGGGACACTAAACTCTTGGGGCTCCACTGAAGGTGAGTGGGACTCAGCTAATTAGTTGCTTTTCTTTCCCTCTCTCCCCTGTATTCCACCCCCCCACCCCGCACAGGCTAAATGGTCTTCTTGATTTTTTTTTCTTTCCCCTCTGTCTCTTCCCTGTTCTGTCACACTCCACTGCTGACTTCCAGACCACCCCCAGTAGCCTAGGGCACTTACGCCTGCACCACACCCAGCTAGCTGAGCTCCACCCTGCATAGCCAGCCTCACCCTGTGTAGCTAGCCTAAGGCTAGGGAAAGCCCTGCTTCCCCTCCAGGGGATACTCCCCCAACCACTCACCTGGGAATTCCTACCTGTGTACCTGGGGGCATAAGGCAGCTTGGCCATCACTCATCACCATTCCAAGCTGCCCAACCTCCACAACACCAAAGCAGACAGCCCACCAGCCTTCTGGGGCACTCCCCTGATAGGGAAGCCACAGGAAGATTAAGGGTAGGTTAATGCCATAGTAATAGCTGTAGGCAGTTCGAAGAAGCATTCCTACAAGTCTCCTAGAGAGAGCCAGTGCTCTTAGACTCCCTAGACAATGGCACCTGGCTCCTCTAAAACATGGCAATGCAAACAGCCATCAGCCCCAACCAGCTCAACAAAAAAACAGGAGTGCCAGAAGAAGCCAGCTCCTAGCACAATCACTACAGGTTTGGTAGGCGCAATTGTACAGCGATAATAAGTAAATATTACAGTAAAGTTATAGAGAGCATGAGAGATAAAAGAGATATATAGAAATAAATGGAGTCAGATACATATGGTAGCATGCTCACCTCAGCCCTGCTTGGTGGTCCATGTGGAGGGAGTGAGAGAGAGCTTTAATGCTCCCCAAGCTTTTATACTCTCTGGGGACATTGGGGACGTGCAAGCCCCCACATTACAGGTGAAGACATACGTCACAGGAAAGGGTTGTGCTACAGGTATTACAGTGATGGGAGGAGGTGATCTAGGGACATATGCACTACAGAAGGAGGGATTGGGGGTGTACATGCAGCAAGATAGGCAGTTCCTAGATTTCTGGTAGCAGCTTAACTAGACTTTGGGTCTCTATTGGAACCATTATCAGTTGGGTGTGAACTCCGCCCACAGGAACCAAACTGATGGCCTTAGGCTCCAGCATCAGGGAGCAGGCCCACCCCTGTGGTGGGATGAGACAGCAGTCTGGCAACTGATTGCCTTCATGGGGGGAATGCTTGAGCATTTGCCCTCCCCCAACACAGGAGAAACAAAAGGCGATGGCAGAAGACAGCCCCAACATAAGGAAACGCTGCTTTCTCAAAGCAGAGTTGACCACAGTGGCCTGCATGGAGGGAAGCCTGTGGGCGGGACATCTTAGGACCTTCCTTTGCTGGTGGGGCCTGGCCCCAAAATGAGAGGACACACCTGCAAGCATCACTTAATAACAGGGACTGGGAACATGTGTGAAGTGTAAAGCTAGATCAATCAGAAGCCGTAAAAAGTGAAATGGGAGCCCCAACAGTCAACCCTGTAGGCAGAGGTTGGATGAAACTGACTGATGTTGGCCAGTCTGAGTCAG